CTATCGTCCCTGCTGCCTTTACTCAGTCTCCCAACACTCACTCCCTCTCTCAGCAAGCTATATTATGCAGTTGTATTCAGTCCGTACTGCACGCCTGAAACGTTTCATGAGCGTGCGCAATATCTCCTGAAAATATTAATCTTTTGCGGAAATTATGCATTTAAAATAGAGAGGAGATATTCTAGCATAGATATCTATGATAACATTTCATCAGTAGACCTCAGTTAAGAAATATGACGAAGACCTTGCATGTAAGGTACCCGCTGCATATACAAGCCAGTGCATAATCTGGCTACGTTAGTGTGTTAGCGCACGCGCAAGTCCGTACTGCACGCCTGAAACGGTGCTCGCGCATGCGCAATATCTCTCGAGAATATTAATATTTTGCGGAAATTTTGCATTTAAAATAGAGAGGAGGTATTCTAGCATAGATTTCTATAATAAAATTCGATCAGTAGATCTCACTTAAGAAACAGCCTCCTTCTTTTTCTCCTGCCCCAGCCATCTTCCCTGCTGCCTTTTCCCAGTCTCCCTACACTCACTCCCTCTCTCAGCAAGATATATTATACAGTTGCCTTCAGTCCCTACTGCACGCCTGAAACAGTTCATGAGCGTGCGCAATATCTCCTGAGAATATTAATCTTTCGCGGAAATTATGCATTTAAAATAGAGAGGAGGTATTCTAGCATAGATATCTATGATAACATTTCATCAGTAGACCTCAGTTAAGAAATAGGACGAAGACCTTGCATGTAACGTACCCGATGCATATACAAGCCAGTGCATAATCTGGCTACGTTAGTGTGTTAGCGCACGCGCAATATCTCACTAGAAGAGTTATATTTTATAATAATGATGCATTTAATATGATTATGGGGTATCTTAGGATCGATTTCTGTAATAAATTCTTATCAGTAGACCTGTGTTCATAATTAGGAGAGCGCCCTAGCCTCAGCCTCCTTCTTTTTCTCCCGCCACATATATCTAGCCTCAGACGTAGGTCCTACACGGACCTCCGACAGCCGCGTAGACGCTCGCAAGCAACTTGTGTTCCAAAATTAAACGCCTTTGACGTCCGCACGACCGTCAAAATACTGTACGTGAACACATTGTTTCCGTCCTTCGAACTTGGCTAGCCTGCTCCTCGTTCCCAGTCCCTACGAGCCTGGTTTCACTCCGACGGATCCCCCGCTAACGACCACCGGAAAAAATGTTTTTAACACAGGTCACACTGTGTCGTGTCTGGGACCCCTCCCTCTCCCCACGACCCCCGCCACAACTCCCCGCCATCCCAGTAATGTGTATTTACACGGCACGTAGTGTCGTGTGTAACACGGAGCACGATAGCACCCCGAGAGACGGCGGCCCGCTGCCGTGAGAGTATCAGCTGGTGATTAGTTAACTACACCCCCGAACCGTCGCCCCGGCCCTGATC